AGTGCCGAAAGTGACAGTGGCTCTCAGATCGTGCGACGCAATTTACTTTTTTGGCTTCTATTTTTTGAATTAGACTTTTTGAATCGGATTTTTCCACATATTCGCGTAGAGTGATTTTTCCCTTAACGGGGTAAGGTATATTTTTTCGGTTTCGAGCTTGCGTTTTCGCAAAATAGTGCCGAAAGTGTCAGTGGCTCTCAGATCGTGCGACGCAATTTACTTTTTTGGCTTATATTTTTTGAACCAGGCTTTTTGAATCGGATTTTTCCACATATTCGGGTAGAGTGATTTTTTCCTTAACCGGATTGGATATTTTTTTTTGGTTTCGAGCTTGCGTTTTCGCAAAATAGTGCCGAAAGTGACAGTGGCTCTCAGATCGTGCGACGCAATTTACTTTTTTGGCTTCTATTTTTTGAATTAGACTTTTTGAATCGGATTTTTCCACATATTCGCGTAGAGTGATTTTTCCCTTAACGGGGTAAGGTATATTTTTTCGGTTTCGAGCTTGCGTTTTCGCAAAATAGTGCCGAAAGTGTCAGTGGCTCTCAGATCGTGCGACGCAATTTACTTTTTTGGCTTATATTTTTTGAACCAGGCTTTTTGAATCGGATTTTTCCACATATTCGGGTAGAGTGATTTTTTCCTTAACCGGATTGGATATTTTTTTTTGGTTTCGAGCTTGCGTTTTCGCAAAATAGTGCCGAAAGTGACAGTGGCTCTCAGATCGTGCGACGCAATTTACTTTTTTGGCTTCTATTTTTTGAATTAGACTTTTTGAATCGGATTTTTCCACATATTCGCGTAGAGTGATTTTTCCCTTAACGGGGTAAGGTATATTTTTTCGGTTTCGAGCTTGCGTTTTCGCAAAATAGTGCCGAAAGTGTCAGTGGCTCTCAGATCGTGCGACGCAATTTACTTTTTTGGCTTATATTTTTTGAACCAGGCTTTTTGAATCGGATTTTTCCACATATTCGGGTAGAGTGATTTTTTCCTTAACCGGATTGGATATTTTTTTTTGGTTTCGAGCTTGCGTTTTCGCAAAATAGTGCCGAAAGTGACAGTGGCTCTCAGATCGTGCGACGCAATTTACTTTTTTGGCTTCTATTTTTTGAATTAGACTTTTTGAATCGGATTTTTCCACATATTCGCGTAGAGTGATTTTTCCCTTAACGGGGTAAGGTATATTTTTTCGGTTTCGAGCTTGCGTTTTCGCAAAATAGTGCCGAAAGTGTCAGTGGCTCTCAGATCGTGCGACGCAATTTACTTTTTTGGCTTATATTTTTTGAACCAGGCTTTTTGAATCGGATTTTTCCACATATTCGGGTAGAGTGATTTTTTCCTTAACCGGATTGGATATTTTTTTTTGGTTTCGAGCTTGCGTTTTCGCAAAATAGTGCCGAAAGTGACAGTGGCTCTCAGATCGTGCGACGCAATTTACTTTTTTGGCTTCTATTTTTTGAATTAGACTTTTTGAATCGGATTTTTCCACATATTCGCGTAGAGTGATTTTTCCCTTAACGGGGTAAGGTATATTTTTTCGGTTTCGAGCTTGCGTTTTCGCAAAATAGTGCCGAAAGTGTCAGTGGCTCTCAGATCGTGCGACGCAATTTACTTTTTTGGCTTATATTTTTTGAACCAGGCTTTTTGAATCGGATTTTTCCACATATTCGGGTAGAGTGATTTTTTCCTTAACCGGATTGGATATTTTTTTTTGGTTTCGAGCTTGCGTTTTCGCAAAATAGTGCCGAAAGTGACAGTGGCTCTCAGATCGTGCGACGCAATTTACTTTTTTGGCTTCTATTTTTTGAATTAGACTTTTTGAATCGGATTTTTCCACATATTCGCGTAGAGTGATTTTTCCCTTAACGGGGTAAGGTATATTTTTTCGGTTTCGAGCTTGCGTTTTCGCAAAATAGTGCCGAAAGTGTCAGTGGCTCTCAGATCGTGCGACGCAATTTACTTTTTTGGCTTATATTTTTTGAACCAGGCTTTTTGAATCGGATTTTTCCACATATTCGGGTAGAGTGATTTTTTCCTTAACCGGATTGGATATTTTTTTTTGGTTTCGAGCTTGCGTTTTCGCAAAATAGTGCCGAAAGTGACAGTGGCTCTCAGATCGTGCGACGCAATTTACTTTTTTGGCTTCTATTTTTTGAATTAGACTTTTTGAATCGGATTTTTCCACATATTCGCGTAGAGTGATTTTTCCCTTAACGGGGTAAGGTATATTTTTTCGGTTTCGAGCTTGCGTTTTCGCAAAATAGTGCCGAAAGTGTCAGTGGCTCTCAGATCGTGCGACGCAATTTACTTTTTTGGCTTATATTTTTTGAACCAGGCTTTTTGAATCGGATTTTTCCACATATTCGGGTAGAGTGATTTTTTCCTTAACCGGATTGGATATTTTTTTTTGGTTTCGAGCTTGCGTTTTCGCAAAATAGTGCCGAAAGTGACAGTGGCTCTCAGATCGTGCGACGCAATTTACTTTTTTGGCTTCTATTTTTTGAATTAGACTTTTTGAATCGGATTTTTCCACATATTCGCGTAGAGTGATTTTTCCCTTAACGGGGTAAGGTATATTTTTTCGGTTTCGAGCTTGCGTTTTCGCAAAATAGTGCCGAAAGTGTCAGTGGCTCTCAGATCGTGCGACGCAATTTACTTTTTTGGCTTATATTTTTTGAACCAGGCTTTTTGAATCGGATTTTTCCACATATTCGGGTAGAGTGATTTTTTCCTTAACCGGATTGGATATTTTTTTTTGGTTTCGAGCTTGCGTTTTCGCAAAATAGTGCCGAAAGTGACAGTGGCTCTCAGATCGTGCGACGCAATTTACTTTTTTGGCTTCTATTTTTTGAATTAGACTTTTTGAATCGGATTTTTCCACATATTCGCGTAGAGTGATTTTTCCCTTAACGGGGTAAGGTATATTTTTTCGGTTTCGAGCTTGCGTTTTCGCAAAATAGTGCCGAAAGTGTCAGTGGCTCTCAGATCGTGCGACGCAATTTACTTTTTTGGCTTATATTTTTTGAACCAGGCTTTTTGAATCGGATTTTTCCACATATTCGGGTAGAGTGATTTTTTCCTTAACCGGATTGGATATTTTTTTTTGGTTTCGAGCTTGCGTTTTCGCAAAATAGTGCCGAAAGTGACAGTGGCTCTCAGATCGTGCGACGCAATTTACTTTTTTGGCTTCTATTTTTTGAATTAGACTTTTTGAATCGGATTTTTCCACATATTCGCGTAGAGTGATTTTTCCCTTAACGGGGTAAGGTATATTTTTTCGGTTTCGAGCTTGCGTTTTCGCAAAATAGTGCCGAAAGTGTCAGTGGCTCTCAGATCGTGCGACGCAATTTACTTTTTTGGCTTATATTTTTTGAACCAGGCTTTTTGAATCGGATTTTTCCACATATTCGGGTAGAGTGATTTTTTCCTTAACCGGATTGGATATTTTTTTTCGGTTTCGCGCTTGCGTTTTCGCAAAATAGTGCCGAAAGTGACAGTGGCTCTCAGATCGTGCGACGCAATTTACTTTTTTGGCTTCTATTTTTTGAATTAGACTTTTTGAATCGGATTTTTCCACATATTCGCGTAGAGTGATTTTTCCCTTAACGGGGTAAGGTATATTTTTTCGGTTTCGAGCTTGCGTTTTCGCAAAATAGTGCCGAAAGTGTCAGTGGCTGCAAGATCGTACGACGCAATTTACTTTTTTGGCTTATATTTTTTGAATTAGGCTTTTTGAATCAGATTTTTCCGCATATTCGCGTAGTGTGATTTTTTTCTTAACGGGATTGGATATCTTTTTTCGGTTTCGAGCGTGCGTTTTCGCAAAATAGTGCCGAAAGTGTCAGTGGCTCTCAGATCGTGCGACGCAATTTACTTTTTTGGCTTATATTTTTTGAACTAGATTTTTTGAATCAGATTTTTCCGCATATTCGCGTAGAGTGATTTTTCCCTTAACGGGATTGGATATTTTTTTTCGATTTCGAGCGTGCGTTTTCGCAAAATAGCGCCGAATGTGTCAATGGCTCTCAGATCGTGCGACGCAATTTACTTTCTTGGCTTCTATTTTTTGAATTAGGCTTTTTGAATCAGATTTTTCCGCATATTCGCGTAGAGTGATTTTTCCCTTAACGGGATTGGATATTTTTTTTCGGTTATGAGCCTGCGTTTTTGAGAAATAGTGATGAATGTGTCCGTGGTTGTGAGGTCGTGCAATGCAGTTGACTTTAATTGCTTAGATTTTTGAAAGTTCTGGTGGTTTTTAAAAATTTTCTGTTTACTGTTGTGGAATAGATTGTTCGGTATTTGGTAGGCTGTTTTTTTTTTCGTTTTCGCTGTTTCAGTGCCGAAATTCTGCATCGGAAATAAATGAAAGGAAATTTATCAAGTGAGTAAACTGTTAAATGTTAAATATAAATAAGCAAATTGAGAAAATTATCAAATGTTAAAAGTAAATGAAGGAATTACATGAAATGAATTATTAAAATAAATATATATTAATAGCAGAATTTATTAAATATAAAGAATAAATTAATTAATAAACGAAATGACTTGTTGAAAAATAAAAGTAATTAAATAAATAAAGTAAATAATTAGAAGTTTTAAATAAAATAATACAATAAATAAGTAAAATATGTATAAATAAATAGAATTAAAATATGTATATAAGTGAATAAACTGAATTATTAAAAATTCGAAGTAAATAAATAAATTATATAACTAATACATAGATTGATTGAATAATAATTCTTAAGTGAATAGTTAGTAAATGATGTTAATTGAAGAATGATTAGTAAACATAATTAATAATAATTGTGAAATTATTAATATAAAGTTATTGTAATGCTACTTTTAAAAATAATTATTAAAGCAAATATGTTAAAATAAATGATTTCTTTATGAATGATTGTTAAAATAATTATTAATGATGTTTACCAATACTCCTTAAGAACTGTTAATTATTTTTTTTACCTCTTTTTAGTTTTATTGTACGCGTCGCGACTATGGAGGAACAACTGACCGTCTACTGGGATTTCCGGGTACCTTTCTGGACTGAGGGTAATCTTACTGAGGTCAAGTGGAAATTCAGGAACTCAATCGGTATTTCAAAGGTTCATCAACCTCTTATGATAGTTATTACATAGTTTGTTGCAAATATATGCTTCGTATAATTTGCAATAACAATATGGAGACTAATTTACATATGGACAATTATTTTTTCATATAAAGTTGCCATTTACCTCCTCGTAGCAATAGTTTTCTATCTATAAGTGTCCAAAATAACTTTTTAAAGTTAGAAAAAGTGAATAGTGAACTAAAAGTGATATATACGAAAGGGATCCTATACCCCATACTCATCAGCTATCTTGAAATAAGATGAAATTCGCCTTTTTAACAAATTTTACAAATTTATATATCTTTACAATGGTCCAGTACATTTTAATCCTGATTTACAGGTTTCTTTGAAAAGTTAATTGTTGAAATAGAATTTACAATGCTCAAGTTTCACAGTTTGTAACTATACATATTTTTAAATCATATCAAAGAGTTAAAACGAAAATGGTTATGGTACAAGAAGATTACAATAGTTTAATTGTTTTTAATTGTTTGTCAAAAACGTTCTATAAATTATCATCTTTTTTTAAAATTTCTTAAAATGATTTCGTTTGTAATGATAGAATTTGTAGACTCTTACAGCATATTTCTTAACATGAGTAAGAGGTATATTACCCGAAGGAAACATCAGAAGGTATATCAGGGAGCATCAGAAATAAACAATCGTAGAAATAAATAATAGGAGAAAGATGTATGGCATATTGTTAAAATTTCGATTCGTAAACTAATAAGGTTTTTATTAATAAAACATTTTAGAATGAAAGTGAATATTTATATTATCATTCACAGAGGACACTACAATCAGGTTCATATTTCTAGATCGGTAAAGCAGTTTAGGTTCAAGTAATGAAAGTCTGTACAACATTATGTTTATTCTCTTGCTAGGTTGTGTTAGAACATTAATAATTTGAATTAAAATTAAATTTAACTATGAAATTACAAATAAATTATAGTAACAAATATTTTATAACTAAAATCCAAATATGGAAGTCTTTAATTTTGAGATACTTAACAAATAATTTAATTGTAACAATTACCTAGCTGTAACAGGGTCTCATCTGAAATTTTATATATATGTAGAATCGTTAACATTATCTACAATCGATTTGTAACTACTGTTCTTATTATCTTCTATCGGTAATGGTAGTTTTCTGCATCACAGACTACATAGTTTTCATTTGTTACAGAAAAATGAAACAGATGGTTCTGTAGTTCATTTTAAATATCCATCTTTATACTGACTACGAAATTTTTTAAATACTTTAAGATATTTTAACACATAGACTTAAAGACATATAGTAACTATTGAAAATTGTTGAAGGTAATTACAGAGCTTATACATTAAGAAATATTCATTACTGTACTGCTATTTTACTTGAACAAGAAAAAGATTTTTATATTTCTACAGTATTTTTTCTATAACATTGAGTTACCATTATGGCAATGAATAACCATAATTTAGATTTTTATATACACATCTGAAGCATCACTGAATACTATACATAAAAGTCCAATATATATTCATATATTTGATAATAAACTGCTGCTGTTGTCACCAGATGGCAACACAGCAATGGTTAATAATTCCAATTTCACATAAAAATAAATAACGTATGTGAACATCTGTTGGTAGTGAATGAGTGATACTTTTATAAATAACTAAGACAATTTATTTAACAATTTTTGAGATGATACATGAATTTTCTTGTAAAACGGCACAAATGAACGAAACATCTCTAAACTCTGATAAAATCGGTGAATGAAATAAAATCTTAAACGACTCTCCATAAAATAAGACAATTTAAATATTCATGAATTTAATTCGGAGGTTCAAAAAATTTAAATCCTAATCTCATACTGATTCAAAGTAACGGTTCGCCAAGCTTTTGGCGAAATAGAAGTCGGAGAATTCAGTGAATTTCGAAGACTATA